ACACCGAATCCGTGTCGATACAGTGGAATTGGTTTATTATTACTCAGCCTATATTGACCAACCGCTTAATATGAAGTAATTGCAGTGTTAAGTTTGGTTTTCATATTAAATTTTCTAGCTATAGTGACCCAAATGATTAATAACAACATTTTCGCTCATTTTTCTGACCCTTCTTATGTATATTGATATTGGAATTCATCGTTCTTTTTCTTTTTCCATAAATAAATATTTACAATTTGTAGTTTTTCTCTATATTAAACCAAATGGCTAACCAAAATAGAAAATTGTTTATTTTCTAAGACTATGCATTTTATGACGCCCGCTTAGTATGACGTCTTTGTCATTTCCTTTGATGTCATTATAAGCGGATTCTACTGCACATTTTTAAATATTTTCATTCTCTGTATCTTTGCAATTTATTCACAATGTATCAGATTGTAGCTGCACACCTAGGGTTCCCCACAAAACTTCAACAAGGATGAGATTGATGTCCGTCATTCTCTTTGTCCACATATTATTTTAACAACTACTGACAAACAAACAAAAATATATAGTAGGCGTAAATACAGACGAAATAAGTTTCAAAATATTTAATAGAAAACTCTTCCAGGCTCAAGTGGAGTAGTATTTTTAAATTTTAAAATACACTTTACGACACACATATTTTCTCTTATTTTCAAAATCTAAAATGACACACGGTTAGAGAATCCTGCAAATATTACTGGACAATTGTAACTATACTGTAAAGTCCTTTCGAAATGCTAAAGGTACTTAACGACGCCTAAGATAAAAGAATCGAAGAAAGTAGATAAACAAAATTGTTTAAAGCCTTCATAAAGGAAAGTTTTCAAAAATTGTAAGCCTAAAAGATTGTTGGTTTCATTGCGTAAAATACGAAATAAACGAAAAGTACAATCCTAATGGTTTCGCAGAATTTGTTAGGTAAGAAAATAATCACGACCCTTTCAAAGAATAAACGGGCTTGATTTCGTAGTAAGATAAAACACCCATTCAAGAAATCCGACACGTCAGGCGTCCTTGGCGTCTCAAAGAATGAAACTACTACATCACCAAACAACCAACCACCCCTATAACCTAATGACCAATATTTTCCAATGTGGCGCATGTCCAAGCTCATATATAGACATTGACGAACAGGGTTATCGATGCGTTTAGAACAGTGGCGCTACTAAAGTTAATATTTACTAAAATGACTAAAGAAAAACCAAAAAGTTAACTTCAAATGTTTACACTAAACTAAAAGACAGAGTTTTAATAGGTATTATTCAAAGAAAGGTTTTAATTAAGATTTTAAAATTTCATTCGAGTGCTTGGAGTTTTTGAGAATCACGCTGTTCCCCTGACGATTATAATGCAATAATTTTCTCTGGTTCAAGAAAATTTAATTTCGTTTATTCATTAGGATCATAATCTGACCTAATCTTATTGAACACGACCTTAACACGTTAGCTATTTAAGATTTTTTTTACATAATTCAACTTCTATCTTTCTTAACGTGAATTTTTACCTTTTAGTTTGGCGACTCTATCCACAACAAATACTTTTGAGCAAGTTATGACTGAAATCGTTACAACAACCTCAAGTAGAATTGAACACTTTCATTTGATCATTAACAAATTTTCTTAGTAATTGAATCCTCAATAATATTATAAATGCGAATATGAATTTTATTCTTTGTTTATTATCATTACACGTCTCAAGTACTCGACCGATCACCATGAAATTTTGTACGTACACTGTCGGCGACACAGAAAAGCAGATTGGGTACGTTTGATCCATGATACTGCCCCAAGGGATAGAAAAATTAGTTTTATGTGGTCATCTTTGATACATATTTAGGTTTTGATCATATATTTATTCTTGAGTAGAGAAATTATAAAATCAAAGCTTATATTTCCTTTAACGAAATTCCACAGAATTTCGAAGACATGACTTATATTCATGTTTAAAAGAAACACCAATTTCTGATGACCAATTATTTTGACATCAATTGGTCGTAAATTAAAAGGTAAATACATTTGTGTGTTTTGCAACAATCAAATTATTTGATTTAGAACGCCACTGCTAAATTACATACACGTAAACCCACACAGTGGGTCTTCCCATGTATACTTTATAGCACTTAGCAAAGCGATAAAACGAAAATGAGTCAGTTGTCTGCTGAATATTTAGCGGTTAATACCTTATAGCCAAAAGTCGATCTCACACGGCTCGCCACTAAAAATGATAACTACAACTTAAACAAAAAGTGAAGTAAAAAAATGAAGAAAAACAATAATAAAGCTTTTAAAGTGTTAGACGAAGTTACATTCAAGAAAGCGAATGCACCTTGGGTGAAAAATGCTTCAGATGACTTCCCGGAAAAATCAAAAGTATGTAATTTCGTAATATACATTATATATATACGCTTTTGTTCAACATTTAATTGCACCAATTAAATAGCTTTAAAATAACCCAAAACAAATTGAAAGTTTGAATGTATTTTGTAACGAAAATGTTACCTACTACTAACAAGTACAAAAACTTAACCATCTGTGCACATAATCATTAGAAATGATCAGAGGTATACATATAAATCATTTTTCTGTTTCAAAAGAAAATTAATATTAAAGAAAACTAACACCATTGGATTGACATTATAGATCATAGATAATTAAAACAAAAAATCCTTGTTTATATATCACATTTTTTATCATTTTCTACGCACAAAGTGTTCTTTTAATCAGTAAGTTAGGTAAATCCCAGACATAGTTCTACGCAAAAATTTAATCGTTGAGTAACATTACTAGACGAGCATTTCATATTAAATTTCGATCCAATTTGTCATTTGAAAAGTTCATTTCAACTTCAACGATAGTAGTTTGAGTTGTAATGTGTACTCCTATATTGTACGATTTAGACATATGAAACAAAAAAGTAATAAAGCTGATACTTTGTATGAATCGACAACTTTTTTGTCGTCTCTATTTTATGAAGCAATTAAAAAGAAAAACTGGTTTTACTGATCGTTAATTTGACTGCATGATTTTAAATCTTCAGTTTTTACATTGTCAATTGTCACCACAACACTTTAATTGCTACATAAGAAAAATTATGTGAAACTGAATAGTGTTTCACTAGCACCAAAATTACAAATTATAAAATGTTGTGCTCAGTACAGTATATTACAAATTCAATGATCATCATTGGGATTTTACGGTAATTGATGATGATGCATCAGCGTTACTTAATTTGATGGAAAAGTAAAGTTGAATTCTCAACTGCCCCACAAACAATGTGTGAAAAAACTAAACAAATTCTCATTTATTCCTACGGTATCTGGCAAAATTTCAAAAAAATTTATTCTATATTTGAAGTGAAACTTCTTTACGCACGGTAGAGTAAGTTCGTTTCATGCGAGTCGCTATGTAACGAAATCATGCAACGCATTTCCCCCGCTGTCTATCCCTATGTACGCTTAGATCTTTAAAACTACGCAACGGATTTTAATGCGGTTTTTTTAATAGATAGAGTGATTCAAGAGGAAGGTTTATATGTATAATACATGCATAATATAGTAGAGAAACACTGATAATTTTAGAGGTTTCTAATGTGATGTCGTAAATAAACACATTTTTTTGCGTTTACATTGCAAACGCTGGCTGAACCTTACGAGATAGATCAAAATAATGTACTACAATATTGTACACCTTAAAAAGGTCTACAAAAAAGTCCGGGATGGTATATGTTTATCTCTTAGGGATAACCCACAATAACCATTTTTATCCTTTACTTTTTACGAGAAATAATGGCTTATTTACTAAGCGATTTTAAGCAATAGAACATTAATCCTTATCCAATTAAGTACTTTTAAATACATTGTGCATTTAATATAGATCAATATGATTCTTATAGCATGTAATTTAAATAAATATTTTCGAAGATATTACAGACTTAAAATGCAGGGACATAGCGGTTGCGGCGGTACCGACCGGTTTGTATTGTCTAATGACAAAAAAGCTGTGATTGTTGTATATAAAGACATTCTATAGTATATTTACTATCAGCATTGCACCCGTGCGAAGCATAGTGTACAAATAATACCATTAAACCAATTCCTTAAACCTTATCCCTGTATGTTTGTGAGTTTGAAGAAGTTTCACTTCAGTAGCCTGTTGTATAATTACACGTTGTATTTTTTTTCTCTCACGTTCTTCTGAAAAGGTTGTAAGAACAGTACTTTCCAAACTGGGAGGCAATAATAAAACATTGTTATTCGCTTTTTGTTCTGTATAACAGTGTATCTTAAAAGATTTTTTATTACTAAATATTTTTTGTTTGTAGTATTGTTTAGAGTGGAAGAGAGGCGCCTTATGATCAAATATTTTTAGGGGATCCATGGTAAAATAAAGTTTGGAAGTCACTGTTGTAGAGGCTTTAGAAAGAGCGGAACAGTTAGGGTTACCAAGTCTACAGTTTTAGTCCACAGTTTTCTCCGAACTCTTTTCAAAAATAATCTGCGGATTTTTCAATTTTATTGTTCCTTTATTGGCAATATTCTTATTAAATATCACACACAATGTAATTACTATACTAATTCTCTACCCAGAGTAGAGTGAGGTAGTGAACGCCATTGTTTTAAATATTTGAGTTTATATTAATTTAAAATATTAATTAATTATTAATCTGTTGGCTGATTTTTTTTAATTATCCAAAACGAATAAACTTTTTTTTTGTACATTTATATATTTATTACATAGATGTCTCCAGACTTACCCGACCGATCCCTCAGGACTTTCTAAAATTTTGAGTTAAGTACAGAATAGGAATTAGGCAGCGTAAATGTTGAAACTGCAATAAAATTTATCACAAGGAAAACGAAATAATTCAAAAAGATTACTTAATACCAACTATTCATTGGCGTTTATGTATTTATTTTCACATCTCTAGAGAATTTCCATTTTAATGATTAATGATGAACTTTCTTCTGTTGTTTACAGGCTCGATTTCAGGAGAAACAAATGCAACAAAAGGAGGAGAAACTATTGCGACTTTTAGAAAATCAGCAACAACGAACAATGGAACGAATTAACAGGGGAAGTCCAGTTAACACCACTAACGAGTCACATAAAACGAGTTACATGGTTTCGCACAACTCTTCCACGGCAACTAAAGGAAAGGTAAATAAAAACGAACCTTTTTCTTTTATGATCCACTCTTTGTGTACAAGTACAACAACAATTAACAGTTTTAAAGATGTAGTCAGTAAAAACAAAGACATAAAAATCCACCCAGTGCGAACTGAGCGTTTTTCGTAATTATAGTTCAAAATCGGCATAGTCCGCAGTAAAACTGTCGCATTTACTTTCTTCTTTCAACTTACTAACCAGCTAACAGAACGCCTTCTTTTACTAATGACAGACGTTATAGGGTATATGGTAAACATAGAAAGAGATGTCAGGTAGGAATTGCAGCGGACACTAATAAAGGAAAAGGAATAGCATAACATCAATTGATGTGTAACAGAAAGGGATGCAGACAAGCAGAATTTGAGCCTGTTGTCGGCATAGGACATTAAAGAAAATTCGACATTCTCAGGAATGCAAGACGCTTATTTAAAGGTATAATTCCAACCAGGCAGTTATAAAACCGACTCTGATTTTTTGCGTACCTAAATAATCTCTAATATATTCGGTTATGTTTTTACATGGCCTGTACCATTCATGAAGCATATCCTAACTTAACAAGGGCGTCATCAAAACGTAGCAAATGACTACAGTCCCAAGTAGAAACGAGAAAGAAGATACGTCCATTCTCGCAGATAATTTATTGTGGACTGTGCCAATTTTGGTTGTATACACCATAAAAATATTTCCAGTTTTAACGGTATCTGTGTATACATACAGAGTCTCCTTGAAATTAAAACTTTCGATTTTTGTCATTTAGGTACCTGCCAAAATTCATACCATAAATTGCATTATAGCAGGAGAGCGATTCAATTTTATATTCAGAATATGCCAATACAAACAATTTACTTTTATGTCAGTATCCTGTCATCTTCTATATCAACATCATTTACACAGTTTGTAATATTTTTTCCTGAAACTGACAGTTTTGTAAAGTGTTTTAATTAGTTTATTAATTTACATTTTGTATCCTTCTGCAATCATACACTTCTAAAAGAAAAAGGTAGCAAACAGATTACTTTTGCAATTTCATTGATGAAGATTTAAGCACCAGTACAGGTAATTTAGAATCTCATGGGTTGTACAGTGACACATGCCCACCCGTTCATTAAAAATATTGACTATATCTGAAAATCGTGCGGTAAACGCCATATGTAGTGCTATACATTTAGTAAAATTCAATATATTGAACAAGGTCCATTAACATACATAGATATCTACTTACTGAACTAAATCCACGGCGTAGCTCACCATATCTGATGGGCACGTTGTCAAAATCGCACAAAAAAGTTCATGGTGGTTAATATTCTGTCGAAACTATCAAACAGCAGGTAGAGTTGTTACCGAAGGGCATGGCCTATTGCTTAGCATTCAGGAGGATGTCGGATTCCGGATCCGTCTGTATTGGTCCAAGTTTTTCTGTGGTTTACTTGGATCACTTAGGCAAATGCTAGGGCAATAATATTCCACAGATAATCTTTCATTCTCTTCTGTCTTCTTTCACCTTCTTCAACAACCACCCACCCATTTCCACGATTCCTGAATGAGGACTGAAGAGGGCCTTCCGCCTTACCTTCCGGCGTAGTCCAGCATTAGTGGCTGGTGGGAATGAAACACCCAAAAGGTTTTTTTGAGGTAGAGTTGGTCTGTGTTCTGTGAAAACTGTTTGTGACACACTGATGTGATCCAGCAAGATCGAAATCGCGATCCACGTCTGGCAGTTTCGACAGAATACTAACCACCACGAACACCTTTGTTCGATTGACCATAATATTTTCGTCTCTGGGTGTCTAGTGGTTAACAGTCCAGTCAATGTTTTTGAAATGTACAAAAAGGTTTGCTCTTCGCACATTTTGCAAACCAAAAAATACCAAATACCTCCAGCAAGATACTACATATGTAATGTTTTTTTCAGGTGCGACAAATGTTTGACGAAAGGCGTCAAAAAGCTGGTATAGATAGAAATCATCCATTAGAACCTCTTAAAACGTCAAAATCAACATCTTTAAACGGATTCGTTAAATCTCCTGTGCGCAACGACTCGAAAATGGAAAGAAATAACAATAGCGGCGTCCTACGAACCACCATTAGGACTACTGTGCAAAACAAAATTTTTAAGAGCCGAAATGGTAAACCTGTGGTAAACGAGAAAAAGGTTTTTAGAAGTCTCTATACGAATAATAACGGTAAAGAAGCTATTCAAGAAGAATGGTAAGTTTTGTATTTTATTCTTATATAAGAATACTGCTTATAAAACTAGACCAAAAATGTTAATTTCAATGCGACGCTTGGTTCGAAAATAGCCTCTTAATTGACACATTAAGACATAATTTGACATCAAACTTCAAAAAATTTAATTTTCTGCACATCCATGGCGCAGTATCTTTCAAATGATACATAAGTTTCATTCCGTCCCTTGTACAATAAATACCGAAAAAGGATAGAGTAAGGCTTGATGATCCTGCACTAATACCTACATAATGTTACAATGAACAAAATAAGTAGTGACTTCCGACTTATCTTTTATCCCTGAATTAATATAATTCTTATTGAAATATTATAACCACAAAATTCATGTTATGCTAACCTAGCTTGTTAGGTTTTGAGATTAAAATATCTCGAAATTTCAATGTGGTAACGTTTTTCTGGGGTAAATGCGAGTTATTCGTCATCAAAGATTAGATTGATAGTAAGGCCTGGTTAATTGACAATCGATTTCAAAATTTGTACAGTACATGTACCTATACATGTCTTTATTAAAAGAAAAGTTGCTTTTCGCGGCGAAGATGGTTCAATATTACAAAAGGCTTTTAAAACAGTTATTATATTATACTTGTGAAAAATGCTTTAAAGACTAAAAAACCACAGCAAATCAAATTTGATTGTTACACGTGCTATAAGTCGAATTCATCATATTAATTAATGTTGCGGATAATGCTGTAAATTCATAATTATATAAACTTTCTTAAAAACAAGAACAGACGTTATTGGAATCGTTGTTAATTAAAAGCGTTACCTAATTTAAATGCATAAATTGTAGTTGTATAAATTTGCATCTAGATATCTGAGCTGTCTAAGCCATGCAAGGGAAATGAATCTAATTGAATTTGTATAAATTGACTAGGTCCTAAATAAGCGTCAAAGATTATCGACAGTCACATAAAACTAATTTTTCTATCCCTCGGGAACAGTTTTTCTTATATGGATAAAATGTACCCTATGTCATTTTCTGTAGCCCTGACAATGTGTGTACAAAATTTGATTATGATCGGTTGAATAGTTAACATTTCTATGAAAAGTTTCGTCATTGTAATTGAGTTCAAAGTAAGTTCTATAAAAAAAGACTATTCAAACAAATTAAATTAAATTAGATATAGGTATTAAAAAATCTCATTAGTAAAAATTCAAGCAAACAAAGCATCAATAAATTACACCCTGAATTTTAAAATATTTGGCAATGACAGTAAAATTTAAACTGAAAATAAAATTATCTCGCGTTAATAATGCCCACGTATGAAGTGGGCGAAACACGTGTCTGCTCCAAAAATTTTTGTGGTAATTAGGGGTGTCTTCTTTTTAATTTTTTAATTAATTATTATTTACCACAGTCTCCTTTTTCTACTTTGAAAATAAAATTAAGTTTATGGTCAAACATTTCCATATTATCAAATTGTATTGGATGTGAAGGTTAGGCATTCTCACAAGACTCTGTTAGTTCTACAAATTTGATTTCGGAAATTGAGGAGGGAGTTAGATTAACTTGACATATCTACAAAATTCTATACAAGATTGTTCAGAGTTTCGAGGACGACAAACAGAAATTGTAAAAAGGGAGCAATTCTTATGTATCCGATATAACAATGACAATACAATGTAATTGGACATTTACGAAAAAAAAAACAGTAAGAACGCGTCACCTTAATGGAGCATAGAATTATTTGGAACAATTCATGCAAACTTTATCTCCTATGAAGTTATTTAATATAAAATCCTTTGCTTTAGCGTGCTTCATTTCAAATGAAGGAAAAAAGCTGGAGTATTTGCATCACTCAGATTGTGTTTTCTGCTTCAGTTACGTCGAAAATAACAATTCGATCGATAAAAGTTTGGCAAGTAGAATGAACAGTATTCAAATAGGCGATGGTTTGGAAAATCAAGAGCTTCCGAACGTTAGACTTGACTTGTATGACGATAAAGGAGATATTTATTCGAAAGGAAATGAAATGAATCATTTCGAAAAGAACGGGATCGCAATTCATAAACCAGACCCTGTAGCTCCAAAAAAAGAATCAAAGGTAAGAATACAATTTTAAAGTAAGTCGATATCGGAAGTCTAAAAAAAACTGAAAATTGCGAACAGAATCCATTGAAATCACTTCAGATGTGAGAAAAAATGCTGTATGAAAAACATGAAAGACGTTATGCTGTATGAAAAGTGTTTGTTAGAGTAAAAGTTGTTTACAATGAACTTTGGCTGGATTTTGTATTAGGTATTTCATAATTCGTAAGTAAGAACTTCTAATTTATAAAATATTTGCGAATTTATTCAATTCCTAGAGCATTTCGAACACTGTCACATTGTAAGATTTACAAAAGTAGTTATATAAAACTAAAATTGTAAAATTTACATGGTCGTATTCGTAAATTTTACAAAAGTACAGTTAACATGACAAACTTGGTACAAGAATTCTTGTAAATGCTATAAGGGTTCTTTTTTCGTGTATCTAAACGGCGATTGTAAATTTAGCCAATTTAATGGGTTTCTACTAATTATATTGGTAAATTAGCCATCAAAAATAAATTATAAATTCGGTTAGTTTGTGCTCAGATAGACGCAGTAAATAAAATAGATTTGAATGACTTAATGAATTCTTCTACCTGTCGTAATACCTAAACCCCTGCAATGTTAAAATTCCAAGATATAGAGGATATTCTAAGAATCGTGATCGTGTTTGTTACATAGGTAAATGTGATTAATTCGTAATCATTAATGAAATTACATTCGCTACATTAATCTATCTGCGCTGCATCACTATCGATTTTAAAATCAAATTCTAATCAACGTTGTCTGGTATCGATAATACACGAGCGACTGCAACCTTGTCAGGTGGTACACTATACTTCTACTTGATTAAATTACCAAGAAAGTGGTTTCTTGGCATTAAGCCAAATGTGAAGTACAAGGTTCCTCCAACAAGCATTTTGTTTCTTTTAGACCTTAACGGTTTTCATATACCTTCTCTGCGAGATGAAATTTTTTAAACAATTTTCTCCTAACATAATCAGAATTAAGAAATAATATTGAACTTTTTTACCAAATACTTTTTATTACTTTCCCTAAAAATATAACGTAAAATCTGCCGTATTAAAATTAGGAATTCGTAATGGTATCAACTTTCTTAAAGAGATGAACTGGCAAACTTATTCGTTACTTTTCTAATAAAGTTAAAGGTAACCACGATTTTATGTAAAGGACATCAAGGATCGGTCAAGGGTTATGTAAGTATATTTTGAAAATGTGTGGACCCTTTGATCTTTGAAATAAGATAACATAATAAAATTGCATCCAACAGCAGGAGATCTATTTGATGATTCACTAAGAAATACATTTACTTAAATTAACGTTTCCACATTGGCGCATTGTTAGTACTTAGTGTGACAGACCAATGATGGATGGACAATGTCGACGTTGAGAATTTCATAACCAAAATTGAAAACACGGACTGCATTTGGAATAGCTGCGTGTAGACTATGTAAAGAAAAGCATGAAAAGAAGAGATAACTGAAAAACTTTTTATTTCGACATAAATCTTAGAAAGATGTATAGAAATCCTTTATCAATCGATTACTGTTGTAACGATCGACCTAATATTTCCGATTCTTTATATCCTTTTTTTTTTTAATTTATCAGAAGCGCTAATAAAGTAACCCCCCTTCGATTTTCTTCTGCGACTTCAATTTAATAACTTTCTTTGCATTTGAAACAGATACGTTATTATATCGGCTACAATATCGAAGCGCTGCAAAAAATCGCTCTTTATACATACGAACTAGCAACTGTCGCGCTACTGTAGCGCAACGGAAGCGGTACAAAATGTAGCTCGTGTGAAAACAGTCTTAAGCTTAAAGAGTAAATGTACAGTACGCGGCAGAAAAGGATGACTTCTGCATTGGGTATGATTCGTTAATGGAAAATTCGTCGCCTCGATTAAAAGACAAAGGAGAACAACCTTTCTGGTGGAGAGGTGTAAATTTGTGGGAAGATATGTTACATTTTTCTACTCTTATTATGTAAATCTAAGTTTTAAACTTCTTTTTGACCGTTTGAATTTTGATGAAATTCACCTTTATGTTCTTTTTAAGCCCAGGATTATTAAATAAAGTCCTTTTTTCTTTGCTACCTTCCTGCTTTGTATGTAGTAGTTTTTAGAAAATAAACAATTCATGACTGATATAATATATTGATACATTAAAAATGTTGATTATTTCCGCGATAGAGTAATCACAAAGTAATTTTAATAATGTAAAGAAAAACACAATTGGAAGTTTTGCATTTTTTAGTTAAAGACTAATAATTGTTTCGACTTATTATAACTCTCGGAAAATGACTGAATAAATCAAAAAGATTGTTAGAGCCTTATAATAAAAAGTGTAACACTCCAATTTATATTTTTCTGTACATTATTAGGCATCAAACACTTATTGCGAGGAGTTCGACATGCACTCGATCAAATAAATTATTATTTATTGATAACGTTCTAATGCCTATCTAGTAATCGAATGCATAGCGAAAAGAAACAGAAGATCATGTTATCCACGGTCAAACTTAAAATCAGGTTAATTAGTTCAAGAATCAGAAAATCGCCCTTCAAAAAAAAAACCCAAAATTTTAAGTGTCAAACGCAGCAATTATGAATCTTTAATGATAAATAGTCACTACGCAGAAATATACAAATTCTTACAGGATCCCTCAGTAGTTGACGTTTTCACAAAAAAAGTACAATTCGACAAGGTATTAAAACTTGACGTTTATCGAAATATTTTGACAATTCGGATCATTTAAACAGTTTTATGGGTGTAAAATAAGTAATACGAAATTGAATGTTATAGCCTATCGTTAGGACAACACAGACAAGGATACAAAAATCACCGGGTGGAAGTTCTTTTAATCAAAATCCAACCACTCTTCGGTCCTTATCAGGAACAACCACCCCCGTCAAGCAACTATCATCACACAGCAACTCGAATCGAAATCTCACCTCTAATACTCTAACTTCACCAACAGTTTCACCGTCAGGAAGTAATAAGACAAGCGCAACCAGTATGTCTCAACCTAAGGTGAAGGTAAAATAGTTTTTTCTCTATAGATATAGCTATTTATTGTCCAAATATGAAGAAACAACAAGACGAATTAAATTAATTGACATGCTTCCTACTAACTCGAGTAATAAGACCAACGCAAATACAAACTAGATATCAAACAATTATTTATGACACTTAAAAGGTAACGAATGCCAAGGAAGACGAAATATTTATTTTTTAAAGAATTTTTGCACTCAACTAGAAGTAGATTTCGTTTATACCATTTTTCATACAATTTATAAAACACACAAAATAGCAAAGAAAGATTTATTTTTAGTTTGTTGTAAACATCTCTATTCTATAAGTTAAAGAAAGTAGATCTAATAGTAAAATAGTTCTATTACAGACTTTTCTTTCTATACTGGCTCAAGTCCACTTATTAAACGTTGCACTGATTATAACAAATGAATCTATTATTTCTTCATTTACTTTCTTTACCTACTCTTTGCAAAGAAAACAGAAAAGGGCTGATCTTAATCTATATCCATTCTATTAAGAGTAGGTGAAATATGTTTTTTTTATTTATTTAAGTAAGGTAGGAGGCATCTAATTTCTGGAACTACTTAGCGGATTTTTCGATTAATTATCAGCAATATTATTGGAATTTATCCGTTATTTTGATAAATAAAACTTTTTAATTCGAACTCTCGATATTTGTATATGACCTTTCGAAGCAAATAACTTAAGGAAATACTTCAACTCAACATTTTGTCCTATATTTGACTGTGATATTTTATTTCTCAATCAATTGGAATCAGAAAAAATAGATTGAGAGTAAAGAAGGTAGGTATTTGTACTGTTACAGAAAACAACGCCGTCGTTTAGTCTTTTCGTATAAGACTTTCAGAGCGTATTCTGTAATGTAATACATAATTTGCAGTGTACTTATCCTGGAAAAGCTTTCTAGGATACCAAAAAACGAAATATCGGTGTGGTATTCTATAATAAAATACTTGTCTACCTTTAACTTGGTTTTGATAGGAAATTATTTTGCAGTCGGCAAATAATAACAAAGCACCCTCAACCGCAAGGCCGTCAGCTAAACCAAGACAACCGCCATCCGCAGTTGTGAGGGATGATCTTGAACAGTGTAAATATTGTGGAAGACGTTTCGTCGTTGATAGGTTACAACTTCATGAAGAAATCTGTGCGAGGGCCGGTAAAAAACAACGTAAAACTTATGACTCAACAAAACACAGGGTTCAAGGAACTGAACTGGAGCAATTCGTTCGTAAAAAAAAACCGGGAAAGGTAAGAATTTGAGTGTAAAGTAAAATTTAGTAAACTGCATCACGAAAAGTGTATGAGCTAAAACTCAATGATTCTAATAGTAAGTGACCAATATTTCTTCGAAATTGTAATTACATAAAGTTGGGGATTTTGGAAATGGCTGATCCAATATTATACGCTACTTTCAAAAGAGCAAGATGTAGCAAAACAGGTCCAGTCATTCTGGAATTAACATACCTTATCTATTTAAATAGGTACCTTGATGCAAGAACCAACAAAAAGGAAGTCAAACTTATAATACTCAACCCTTCCAGTTGGGAATTAATAAATAATTGATTAAACGGAAAGCGTATATTTAAAATGGATCGCGGGATCTTTTATTTTTGTTTGTAATGAATGTAATCTTGTGGCTCTAATTGATTTATATATATATCTTTTAGGGTGCAAACAAGATACTACCGGAAGCGAATTGGCGTAAAAGACACGAAGAATTCATAGCCACCATCCGGGCAGCAAAAGTAACCCAGGCGCACCTGGCAAAAGGTGGTAAACTATCGGATTTACCCCCACCACCACCTTCATACAACCCAGATTATGTACAGTGCCCTCATTGCGGTAGAAGATTTAATCAAGCGGCTGCTGAACGTCATATACCCAAATGTGCCACATATGAGTTTAATAAACCAAAGCCAAAAGCCCCATCCAAATCATCAGCCTCAACGAAATCTGGAGGAAGCTACTAAAAATGTCATCGACACCGAAATTCTTACAATATACACGAATATAAATAGATTATATTACATACTATCAATTTGCCAAACGATCTGCCAAGAGATACTTACTGTTAGATACATTTCAATTTTTTGTGCGAAATTTTATGCTAAGAACAAACTATACGCAAAACTAAATCGGGTGTGATTTAATCAAATTCTATTTATAATTAAGCTCGCTTTTGCTTTTTTAATTTGTAACAAAAAGTTTGAAAACACGACAATTTATACGCCGAAAAATTGACATTTTTGGTTAATATTATAAACAGCATATACATAAATGTATATAAATAAAAACACTAATGAACTCACTTTTTCTTAGTATCATTTACCCCCTTATATTTTTGTTTTTTTAATACAAAACTCCGTATATGGATTATTAATTATAAATCAAAGCATGTGTGTGATAATCAATACATTGATTCCCGAAGGCTCTTGAGTATGGGCGAAGGTAAAGACCGATTGATGGCCAGCAATATTTATACTAAAGTTACAAAAGATAATAAATCTTACCCTGAGTGACGCATGTTTGCCTAGTTAACAATAGAAGTTCCGAAATTCTCGAGAAGAATAAACACTGTTTGGGAGAATCCAATGAAGTCGTAAAACAAGATAACTTTTATCAAAAAAAAATGCTTGTTCAAAAATCGAAAATTTATTAATAAAAGTATCTTATTTTATATGAAAACGAATAAGATTTTTTTTAAATATCTAAGTTAATTATTCAAATGCTCAACACTTTTTTGTATACTAATACAATAAAATAAGTATTAATAAAATTTAAAATTTGTAATATTGTTGCATTTGTTACTGGTTTCCTTTTGAGCATCTCACTTGCAGTAATGTTCTTAAAACTTATTTGGTTCCCTTTGTAAATCGTTTTGCCTCTTTTACAAGTCTTTTTGCATCTTCTTCTTCAAAGTCCTCGTCTTCTAAATTCCATTCACTATCAGAATCATCATCATCTGCCACATAGTCATCAGAACTGTCGTCATTTATAAACGGATCGTCGTAGTCATAATCTTCTTCGGCAGAATCATTATCATTTGTTGCGGTCGTAGTTTTCTTTCTATGCTTTTTGTCTTTCAATTTTACTACAAAATATTTTCGTTTCAAGACACGAAGTCACAGTTCTTAGACTATATTGCTGAGGGTCAGTGTTGTATGCCCTTTGATAATGTAATTATGTAATGAATAAAAGACAGTAAAAAACGTAGCTTCTTTCATCTCCTTCCAAAATACTTCTCACTTTAAATATTTCCCAACCCTCCACATTATTTTTATTATTCGAATAGTTAATAAAACTTCTACTGTATTACGTTTAATTAAAAGAGAATGAAAGTACATAACGCAAAAAAAATGTTCTGAAAATCGCTAAAAAATTAAAAGAATGCAACTAAAATTCAAGGTACTTTTTAAATTTAAGACAAATGTATATCACAAATTTTTCATTCCATTAATATTCATGTCTTTTCTAGTAAACGGTTTAGTTTCATTCATTCTACTTTTTACCAGTTTTCAGACTAATTTTTATTACATTATGAAACAAGGACCTTTATTGTTTATGATGTATTCATTAAAAGGATATGAGGTACACTATGTCAACAATACACACTTTAAAAATCTTAAACATTTTATTAAATTGAGAAAGAACAGTATAAAAACTACTGAACTAACATGGGAAATTAATGATTTAATGTATAAAACTAAAAAAATTTAAACAAAACATCTTTATTTAAAAATCAGATGCACCTCATGCAACCTTTACACACAAGCACCAAGAGTAACAAGCTAGTAATGTTTATGCACAGTTTTATAGCAAACATTGACAAATTACAACGAATAACTCTTACTGATATTTTTTAAACTTTACTGATTAAATAAGTATAGCATATGTATGTAATAAATTATTATTACATGAAGTGTATGCAATTTCTGGAAAATATGTAAAATTACGAAAATGGAAAGGAAGGGCCATAAAAGTTGCAATTATGAAATTGAAAAATTGAAGGATTATTTTGCATAGGTCGCTTAGGAATACCTTGTGTCTTGGGATGTCTAAATTGCTGTCTGTGCGTTTTATTTCGACGATAACAACTTATTCCAAAAGAGCACATTGGACGATCATCATTTTCATCTGATTCATAATCAGAATCACCTGGATGACACAGATCTTTTTTGTGATTGGGATTTTTCCTAAAAATGCATTCTCTTTAACAGTTAGATCTATTTTATTTTAAAGTTAAAATAATCAAACCTATAACAACTTGCACCATACCAACATCTATCTCTTATATTCTTCTTTTCTTTTGATATTACATTCTCAATGGTTGTTGAAGATGATGGTTGATTATCATCTTCTGCATTTGTATTTTCTGTTGAAACTAATCTTTCATTTGTAGATTCTTGGTTGAGATCAGTTTTACAGAGTTCATCATTAGTCTGTTCTTCCTGTTTAACAGCTGCTGTTACGCCACTAATTTGACTTTCATCACAATTTGATACATTAGTTTCAGGCAATTTAACATTTTTGAAACAGACACTAGCTTGTGTTTCTTCATTTTCTCTAACATCTGATGTTTTTAGTTTTTTACTGCTTTCAACATTACTTTCTACAATTTCTCTCTTTCTTCTTTCTGTTTTAAACATCTGCTCATCACTCTGATGGACATTTTCAACTAATGTGCTTCCTGAGTTAGTTCGACATTTTGAATAATTACTATCATCTGTATCACTTGTCCTTTCTGTTTCTTCCTGAAGTAAACGTATTTGATAGTACCCAAACTAATAGTAAAATGACAAACTTACAGCCTCTACTTTAGTATATGGCTTCATATCTATATCACAAAATTTAACTGTGTACCAAAACTGATCAGGTAATAAACCAAATGTGTCACCATCTTTCACTTCAACTGATTCATTTTGTTTTAAAATCATTAAGTTTAAACCTCCCGTAGGTTTGAAAAAACAAGGATTCACATGAGTAGATTTGAGTAATATCTTATCCGGTGTAACATTTAACAGAGCATGGCTATGGGAAATTCTTTTATCATTACACTGAAAAAAATATCTTTAAGAATAGGTAACTATTGAAATTTAGAAAATCAGCACAGAAAGTAAACACATAACACACCTTTAAACGATTGCCGCGACCAATTACATAAGCTCCCGGTAAAAAATCAACAATCTTTTCGTCAGTATCACGAAAGTATAAAGAAATCCCTTTCATTATAGTGTAAAGGTCTAATCCGCAGCTATATTAGACTTTTACTATTAGAGAGCTATTATTATTATTACACTAAATACACCAAATAACCTCCTCATTTATTGTGCTAACTTTGTAATAAATTCAATATTGTTTTATATGCAGATCATAAAATCGTTAAAAGTTTCTTTATTTAAATAATAAGCTGACAATACGCACTCAATCGAACAATTCTATACGCACAACAAAATAATTTATCTTCTATGTCTGTCTATGGTTATCATCATAGATAAAGTTATCACCAAATAAGTCATAGAAACAAATAATTCATTCTTAAATACATAAGCAGTGGCGTAACTACTTATTTATAAAGTGAAATTCTTTAGCAATATTTAAAAGAAAAATAATATTTTAAATAAATGCAAGGTGAGCTTTTAGTCGTGAAAGAGACAAAATAGTAGAAATTGAATAAATACAACTGTAAATGTAACACGAAGAAAACTTATATTTCTATAAAAGTTGATGATAAAACTAAGAACAGCATTATATCACGCACCATGTTACACACCAAGGAAAAAGTACAAAAGTACAGGAATTGTTGCCCTCGCTTTCAGCTCGAATGGCAATATCAATTCATACTGAGGAGATAATGTCGTACCTACTTTCTCCTCTGGGTGCGTATTTTACCATACCCCTCGAGAAAATACGATGTGATTCCCGGGTAAGAAATTGCATTTACCTATTCCTTTGGCTCCGGCGATGATATTAAAATCCTTTACTAATAAGGAATAAATGCGATTTTTTACCAGGTTGGAAACATTGCGCATTCCTCCCTGAAATCGGGGAAAAACATTGTACTAGCAGTATAAATATACTGAAAAGTTATAAATGTCATTAGCTTTACATTGAATTGACAAACAACTATTCAGACTAGCAATTAAAACTAAACTGCTTTCAATAATGCAGCCCGGTCCAATGAGCGAGTTTGTTCTCCCATTAAGATGGCTTTTGGGGAGCTGGAAATCGATTTCAGCAAAGGGAATGTATCCAACTTATAAAGATTTCACTTTTTGTGATAAACTTACATTTAAAACGATAGGTCAACCGATGCTTAACTACGAAGCAGTAAGTTGGAATCCAGAAACGTTATTACCAATTCATTTGGAGTCTGGGTTTTTACGAATTAATCCAAAAACACCGAATGTGGCCTTTTTAGTTGCACATAACTTTGGTGTTGTTACTTTAGAAGAAGGGACAGTCTGCAAGCAGACAGTAAGATTTGAAACTAGCGGTGTATTAACGATGTCGTTTAAGCCAGGGCCAAAAGTTTGCAAATTGGTAAGACAGTATTGCCTCGACGCAAACTACAATTTACGTTATATTTTATATATGGAAACTGATAGAACTCCATTAACAACTCATTTAGAAGTTGTTTATGAGAAAGATCCATGCGATTGCAATTGAATTTTATAAAGGCACGTGAATTTTATATAGCCTTTTTATACGCTCGCTTTATTAATAATAGATGTATTGTAAATGTTTTAGCTTTTTGGTCAAATATATTAATTATAATATTATTAGATTGCATTTTTTTAATATATGCTATAATTTCTACTGTGAAGTTAAAAGTCCATGCAAGTTTAATTTTTTTAATTGCATTTCAAAAGTATACCTTATAATTTTCTATGTTGAAATAAGCTTAAAATTTAATAAAAACATATAATACTTATTATAAAAGAATTATTTTAAAACATTCATTATATATGACACATGTGGCAGTTTAAGAGACATTAAAAATGAATATGCTGCGTGTATAAACGTTTTAAATAACATATCCACTGAAGGTGCTTTAAATAAGAAAACGTTATTATTACTATTTTATAAAAAAAAGTATCAACTTCAGTCAGTAATTTTCTATTAATTTATAAAATTATTTTAAATGTTATTTTCCGATTGTATTCACAGATTTCTCGTGGGAATAAAGTTAGAGAGTTAGGCAAAAATGTTTTTGATGACCTCAGGAATTTTCCAAACAATTCTCAACCTACATGCAAATATTTTTCTCTAATTGTAATGTAACCCTTACATCTTTGTTATTATTGGAAAGTACCAAAAATTATAGAGTAATCCACATTTCACTCTCTCCACGAAAAACCCACGAAATCCTTCGAAAAATAGTCAACCTGTATAAGCAAATTTGTTCAATAAAAACATTGAGTACCAAAACTATTTATTAGAACAATCAAATGTTTTCTTTGTATTTTATTTAAGTGGAGAAAATAAACTGTCTTCTTTCAGGAGTGTTAGATGCTGATATAATAAAAAAAAAAGCAAGAAAACAGTTTACTTTCCCCCTGTGTACTAACTGAAGTCGAATGCGTCCTATCAGATGATACAGCTTCTTTGACGTCGAAGTTTTATACTGTTACTACATTTTAAAGAACAAAACCAGCACTCTATTGGAACAGTAGTTATACCATTAAGTGATATGCTAACTTTTTCAGCTATAGAATTTAACCGTAATAAAATATTTTGTCTAATATAAGTATTAAAGCAAGCATTACCACAAATACAAAATTTTGCTAAATCTAGGTAATCACAAAGAGTTAATGGCAACATGTCAGAAGCATAAGGTACTTTGAGAGCAAGAAACTTTTGAGCTGACAACTCTTTTAAAGAAGACATAGGAAGATGCTTAACACTAATATTAATTGGATTGTTCAAATGTTCCACAACAAACTGATTATTTGATAAGTCTAAATCACGAATTTGTAGATTTTTCATACTTCCTGGTAGATATGTCAGTAAATTATTTGATGCTGTAAGAGTTTTTAAATTCTGTAGACATCCAATTCCTGATGGTAGTTCCTTTAGTTCATTATTATCAACATTCAAAATTATTAACGAATATAGTTTACTAATATGTAGTGGTAAATAACGAAGTTTATTATTACTCAAATTTAACAGTTTCAAATTTTTGGATAGATGCCCCCCTATCCAATTCCATTGTCTTAATGAAGATGTTCCAAGTTCATTGTGAGATAAATTTAACTCAGAAAGTGATGGCATGTTCTTTACTTCAGGTGGTAAAAACTCAATGCAATTGTGACTTAAATCAAGAATTTTAAGTTTGGCTAATTGCCATATACCTCGGTTCAATGAACATTTATTAATATCATTTATATGCAGTTCTTCTAAAGTTCTTGGTAAACCCTTAACTGGGTATTCTGATGCTTTGGTAATTGTTAATGTTTTTGGTGCATGATTCTTTAGATTTACTGGTGTTACACCAACACTGGATACTTTCAAGTCTGTTTCATCCATTTTATTTTGAATGATTAACTTTAAAAGGTGAAGAAAACTTTTTAACTGAATACTATCTGCTTGAATATACAAATCATGCTGTGGCTCTTTAAACTTAATTGTGACCTTTCCTTCATTCAGAAAACGTGTTAGAACTTGAATAATATTATCTCGTATGGCATACTTTGTACCAGTTTTATTTTGGCCGGAAAACAGCAGAATGCAAAAATTTGATGAATTAGGAGTTTTACAGAGAGCAATTGTTGATTTCACATGTCTTCTTTTGGTATTAACAGCTAAAACTGGAAGTAATCTATTTCCCACACAAACACTACACACTAACTTCATTGTTTTTTCATTACATTGGTACAGACTTTAAATTGTCCTTAAAGCCTTCTGTAAGATCAATTCTGTATGTTTTTATAGGTATAAATATCCGAGAAAATTATAAACCGTTTCTTTATTGACACTCAATACAATGTAAACATAAAATAACCACAACAACCATAGATAAGCACAACAATAAAAAGTCAAATACGGAAAAATAAGATTTGAACTACAAAACTGCTACATTGCAACTACCGTCAGCTGACTTTTATAAACAATGAACATAACCTAATATCACCTCGTAATTTGTTATCTAACGATAAAATGTATTTATTACAATAAGAAAGTACCTTAAAAACGCATAACACAAGTGCAATTCTTTTAAAGGCTTGTCTTGTAATAAAGAAGATACGTTTGTTAAATGAGCAACATACAGGAACAACGACCTGAATGGTTTTTTTGTTTTCTTGTATAATGAAATAATAAACAATTTTATTATCATTTCTAATGGCATCAAATAACATTAAATCGCTCTTAAAAGATGCTCGTGAAGCCCTTAAGAACAAAGATTATCAGACATCGTTAAAACTTTGCAAGGTATGCAAAAACCTACATTTTTAACTAGCATAAAATAAAAGCATTATCTTTGTATTTGTTTGCTGTAGACCATTTTAAAGCAAGATAAAGAAAACTATATGGGATTGGTTTTTTTGGGAATATCATTGCAAGAAGTAGGACCTACTGACCAAGCAAAAAAAGCTTTTCTTAAAGCTATAAATGTAAACTCTGAAAATGTCCTAGCATGGAATGGATTGCTGAATTATTATGATCAATTTGAAAATGAAATTGACACAGCACACTTGATTGAAGTTTACTTAAAGATTTTAGATTTAGAAACGTATGCAGAAATTTGTTTCCATTAAATTATATATTGAATATTCCATTTTAGGAATGATAAAAAGCTGAAAGAAATATATGAAAAAATAGAAGCAATAAAATTCATACCAGAAAATCTGTTCCCTTCTGTTGTGAACCATATGTACAAAGCAGCAAAATCCCTGAAAGAGCGAAACTGTATATCAGAAGGGCCATGGTCTGCTATTGTTGCTGTTATCTGGAACAAAAAAGACAAAACTGAATTATCTGAAGAAATATGGCAAATGGTTAGTACTTTTGAAAATAAATTGTGGCAGACCAATAACTAGTTTTTCTTTTAAGCTTGAAGAAGCACTTTCTGAATTAGTTCATACTTCAAAGTGGATGAGCAGTGATAATTACTCCAAATACTTAAAAGTTTTGCATGAAAGAAAAAAATATGTACTTTTACTTGAAGAATGTCAAAGAATGCATTCCATTTTTGAAGAAAGCACTATTCCATTAGAATGGGTTTGTAAACTATATAATCAACTAGAAGTGGAAAAGGATAATTTAAGTGCAGTTTTTGAACCAACAGCTAAAGAGTATTACGAAATACTAGAAAAAATTAATCCAAAATCTGCCACAGTTTTGTTTACAAACAGTTTGATTCATTATAAGAATGGTAACATACTTCTAGCAAGAGATGTTCTGAAAGAAGGTACTGTGCAATTCAGGTTTTTTTTACTATTATTATTATTGCCCATTAGTATAGCAACAAAATTATCAAATAAACATCTTATTATTACTTGTCAACACTTTTCAGTTCATTTTGAAATCAAAGCATAACATTAAAGTAGGAAAAGCAAAAGAAACTATTTTTACATCATTTGAAGCTATATATGTACCTTTAACAATTAACAATTTAGTACTTATCATTTGTGAAAACCTATGACAAAAATTTAAATTACTTTATTATTGAAATTACAAAATTTAAAAGCATTATCTATTCAATTTTAAATACGTCAAGTTAAACAGCACAATCCAGAAAGGGAAAGTATGTAATATAAACAAAATAAAGTAAAACACCATCAAATCAGCAGGTATTTGTTTTGGTTATTGCCGCGTACTTATAAAATAGGTGGTTACATTATAAATGCTTTAATAAAACAGATCATAACATACCCTTTCGATCTTTTTGGCTACTTTAGGATTCACTGCACTTTAAGTCATTTTGTAAAAAGTCGAAATTTAAAGAGCGCGACACGTTCGAATAATACGTTTAACTATTCGAAACTGGGAAGGCAAATATGTTGGTCGCGTAAAAGTTGAAATTGTATACTCTAGCGCCACATCGTAGAGAAAAGCAAAAGCAAGACTACAATTCTTTGTGAGCTGTGAATTGCAAGAGAATTTCTTTCTTCTCTCCCCCTCTACCTAGTTCGGTTAATGCAAAATAATCTTATATACAGGGCGTTTTAGTTAGAAAAGATAATAGGATATGAAGACTTACATTATATTAAGATAAAAAATCTAGCATTTAAATGTCGGTAATAAATATGTATAATAAGGCATCATACCTACTAATCACATAAGGATATTAAAATATGCAACTAAACAATGCATTCTTATATAGTTATAAAAGAAAAAAATATTTAATTATTTCAGTCACATCCTTGCACCCGAAATTTCTGCATGGGTGGATGTTATTAACGTCTTGCTATTTGAAATTAAAAAATTTCGAAGAAGCTTTAAAATCGTCAGAACACACTCAAAAACTACTCAAAGAAACAAATAATACTAGTACATTTTTATGCAATACTGTGCTAGATTTAGAGCTGCAAATATTATCAATGCATTCGATGCAGGAATGCTGGGAGAAATGCATCGAAAAATGTAAAGAGGTGATTAAAACAATCTGGAAAAATTATACATTTTTTTGTTGTTATTATTTCTATGATGCAGATTGCGAACGGTGATAAAAATCGAAAATTATGCATGGCGAGAAGCTATATGAATTTAGGAAAATTAATCGAAGCAAAAACCATACTCAATGAAATAAATGGAGATGAAAATGATGTGTCTGTATCTGTATTGAAAGCAAATCTTCTAGAAAAAGAAGGAAAAACTGAAGACGCTATAAAATTACTGACAAAACTGAGTGAAAATAATAACGATTCAGATGTTTGGTTCGAAGTTGGTCTCTTACACTGGAAAATACATGACTATGATAAAAGTGCGATACCATTTCTAAAGGTGCGTAAATGTAAACTTTTCGTAGGATAAAAAATATTATAAAATATATTGGATAAATTAAGCTTTTTGAGCCACCATCAGAAATATGTTGATGAATGACGATCAATAAAACCACTAAGTAAAAAAAAATTATTAACAAATGAGCAAAGGATGTTGCCGTACAATTAAACCCCGATGTTTTATGTTCAATATTGAGCGTTAAATAAAAAAGAAATGTACTTTTGAATAGATCATATGCATCATTGGGTACAAGTACCTAAGATTATTAAATTATACTGCTTAATACAAGAAAACTTAATTTTTGAAGTAAAACTTCTTTACGCACGGTAGAGTAAGTAAGTATGCTTAGATCTATAAAACTACGCAACGGATTTTAATGCGTTTTTTTTTAATAGATAGGGTAATTCAAGAGGAAGGTTTATATGTATAATACATGCATAATATAGTAGATAAAAACCGATAATTTTAGAGGTTTCTAATGTAATGTCGTAAATAAACACATTTTTTTGCACTTACATTGCAAACGCAGGCTGAACCCTACGAGATAGATCAAAATAATGTACTACAGTATTGTACACCTTAAAAAGGTCTACAAAAAAAGTCCTGGATGGTATATGTCTATCTCTTAGGGATAACCCACAATAACCATTTTTTATCCTTTACTTTTTACGAGAAATAATGGCTTATTTACGAAGCGATTTTAAGCAATACAGCATTAATCCTTATCGAATTAAGTACCTTAAATACATTGTGAATTTAATATAGATCAATATGGCCCTTTACAGCATGTAATTTAAATGAATATTTTCGAAGATATTACAGACTTAAAATGCAGGGGCATAGCGGTTAAGGCGGTACCGGTCGGTTTCTATTATCTAATGACAAAAAAGCTGTGATTGTTGTATATAAAGACACTCTGTAGTTTATTTACTATCAGCATTGCACCCGTGCGAAGCATAGTGTTCAAATAATACCATTAAACCAATTTCTTAATTAACCCCTATGTCGGTATGTTTGTGTATTTGAAGAAGTTTCACTTCAGTAGCGTGTTGTATAATTACACGTTGTATTTTTTTTTAATAAGTGCAACAGATGAATAAGTCGAAGGATTCTGATAATACTCCCCATAACTTCGGAGTTTTGTGAAGACTATTTTAATATTAAACAATTATAAACTAAATCATTTGGTATGTAACATAAGAAATTAACACAATTTTGGTTCTGTTCTTTGGCGTTCTATTATTTACGTTCAATTTATTATCAATTACACATCAAAGAGAGTATTATTTGATGGATTTAGTATCACTTGATGGGAGATATGATCAGAAAGTTGACTTATTTGACTCTGAAATCGTCCATTTATTACTGAGTGGTGGTTCTAATATGAATGAATCAACTTCAATGCGATTTTTAGTGTTTACAGTGTCTCCACTTCTCGTTGCAATTTATGAAAAATATTTCTCATTTTCTTAGAATAGAGGAGATTATGTGTAGACAATTTTTTATTTGAATTTAGAGAAAATCTCGTTTTTGTTGATCGTCATTCGTTACATTTTCAAAAATGTATTCCCAAAAAAATAAAGTATAATCTAAAGTTCATTTTTAGGCAGCGAAATTGAACCCCAACAATTATTCAATTTTTTTATATTTGGGGCATTACTATCAAAAGTATAACAATATTGAAAAGGCAAAAAAGTGTTTCGAAAAAGCCTTTAAAATTAATAGCAATTGTATTGAAGCGGCTCTGGAATTGGGAGAAATATACAGAAAACTTGAAGATTGGGTAAAGTTTGTCTTAAATGCATATTTTCTTCTTGTCAAAAAAGAAATGGAACTTTCCTTAGATATCGGCGTTTAATTCAAATCAAACTTTCACTCGCTCAATCAATAGTCTAAATTTTTCAAATTGTTTACGTCGAAAGGAAGTTGTATTTCTAACGTAGGTTTTTTTTCTCATCTTACCGTCTTTTGTTTTTAATAAATTAAATGCAGGATGCAAATCTGACTCTTTTGCGAGAATTGGCGGGCGGTTCAGTTAATGAATGGAACAACTGGGCTTGGGTTCAACTTGGCGTTTCTTATTTAGAAAAGCAAGATTTCAATTGTGCCATAGACACATGGAGATATCTGGTGAGATGTAAGCCGCTAAACAGGTAAATTTTATTAACAAAAATTACTTTTCCTCGTTGGCACATAGCAATAATGTTTTCTACTAATACTTAATTTGAAAATCGAAAACTTCTAAGTGTGATGCAATTAATAGATCGCTATAAAATTATAGTACTAAAACTAGAACTATCGTATATTTTGTTTCGCGACGTCGATATTTCTAAATATACTTAACACCAGCACAAGTCACGCGCGTATGTAGGTAATACATATGACACGGTAAACTCTGAAAATATACGCGACACCAACACCAGAGGTGAAAGAGATCAGAAAGGCTATGGGACGATAAGCATAGTGAATCGGCCCCAGAAGGATATCTGGATTATTTTTTGTGAGGGTATACTGGGTACTAATGAGATACGTTAATCCTGAAAATTTTAGACTTCTATCTATTTTGGTTTTTGAATAAGTCCAAAAAGGGAAAAATCAGAAAATATTTTTTTTCTGAGAAACGGCTTGACTAATTTGAATGAAATTTATATAGGTTATAGAGACATATAAGGGTTTTACTCGGAAAAAAAATAACAGCTCATAATAATATAAACCAAAATAGATAGATGTTTAAAATTTTCAGGATTAACGTATTCCATTAGTACCAATAAACCCTCAAAAAATAATCCAGATATACCTCTAGATTCACTATGTTTATCGTCCTATGACCTTTAGTGTAACATTAGGCAATAGGGATTTCTGCAATAGCCATTAGAGAAAGTTTAATAAAATATGTATAAATAATATAAAGTATGTATTACTTAGCACCTTANGGCAACGGTCAGAAATTAGCGGACCGCGGTCCAAGTCTAGACCGCGGAAAGTTAAAAATTGGACCGCCAAAAATTTTTTTAAGGACAGTTTCCTTCCCGAGGAATTTCTGATATTCAGATAAAATTTGAGATCTAAGTATAGTAATAATTGTGGACTTCATGCTTTTATCTGAAAACTGTCTATAAAATTTCAAACGCTTAGATTATTTCAATTTTCTTTGTTGAAACTGAAATAAAAGCTTAGGGTACATAGTTGTAATTTTCATTTTAAAATTCATTTCTAAAATCGGTTTTTTTGTCGGTTGTTGGAGATACAAAATCGTCTAGGGCAACGGCCAGCAACTGGCGAACCGCGGTCTAAGTCCAGACAGCGGAAAGTCAAAAATTGGACTAAGGTAAAAATCTGCTTCTTAATTAAATTAAATATGATTTATCTGTTTCGAATAATTACATTTTTACTCGTTTCAAGCAATTTATTCAATCAATAAAACGGCACAATATTGTATTTCTAGTCATTTTTGGGAGGGCTTAGCCGATTCTTATTTAGCAAGAGGATCTTACACATCTGCTTTGAAATGTTATCAAAAAGCAGCTGAAATAACTCCCAATGCGTTGTATCCTCTATTACAAATAGCCACCGTTAAAAGGGTAAAAGGACAATCGTTCAGAGTAATAATTAATTGTTGATTTTCCAAATAAAATTCTCTTTAGATTTTGGGCCAATATGCAGAAGCCAGGGCTGATTTTGAAGCCTTACTTTCTACCAATCAGAAATACGTTCCTGCGCTTAAGGGTTTAGCAGAAACTTGCTTAAACCAGGCAAAATTGTATAATAAAAACCAACTTTTGGGTTTAACAAGAGATTGCTGCCAATGCGCATTGGAAAACCTGCTAACGTGAGTACGATGATATAATACAGTGAAATCCTAAAATACGCATTTTAAAAAATCTTATTCGTTTTTTTCTTAACATCAAAAAACTTAAAATTATATATAAATTTTATTTTTCGATTATTAATTAAAAATAGCACCCGTGCGAAGCATAGTGTTCAAATAATACCATTAAACCAATTTCTTAATTAACCCCTATGTCGGTATGTTTGTGTATTTGAAGAAGTTTCACTTCAGTAGCGTGTTGTATAATTACACGTTGTATTTTTTTTTAATAAGTGCAACAGATGAATAAGTCGAAGGATTCTGATAATACTCCCCATAACTTCGGAGTTTTGTGAAGACTATTTTAATATTAAACAATTATAAACTAAATCATTTGGTATGTAACATAAGAAATTAACACAATTTTGGTTCTGTTCTTTGGCGTTCTATTATTTACGTTCAATTTATTATCAATTACACATCAAAGAGAGTATTATTTGATGGATTTAGTATCACTTGATGGGAGATATGATCAGAAAGTTGACTTATTTGACTCTGAAATCGTCCATTTATTACTGAGTGGTGGTTCTAATATGAATGAATCAACTTCAATGCGATTTTTAGTGTTTACAGTGTCTCCACTTCTCGTTGCAATTTATGAAAAATATTTCTCATTTTCTTAGAATAGAGGAGATTATGTGTAGACAATTTTTTATTTGAATTTAGAGAAAATCTCGTTTTTGTTGATCGTCATTCGTTACATTTTCAAAAATGTATTCCCAAAAAAATAAAGTATAATCTAAAGTTCATTTTTAGGCAGCGAAATTGAACCCCAACAATTATTCAATTTTTTTATATTTGGGGCATTACTATCAAAAGTATAACAATATTGAAAAGGCAAAAAAGTGTTTCGAAAAAGCCTTTAAAATTAANAGATCTTTAAAACTATGTTTTCTAATATTTTTTTAATATAAATACATTCCTCCAAATGAAATTAAATCCATCTCCACCACCGTTAATAAATAAGGTGTAAACGAGTTTAAATTGTATAATTTCTGTATTAAATTGCAATTTTTATTTGCCCTAACGTTTTTATTTAGTGCTATTAAAGAAAGGAACAATTTTTCGTGTTTGTGGAAATTAGCAGCAGACGGTTGTTATTTAGTAGCCCAGCTACCTGAAAAATATTGTTGTTTGTTAATACCAGCATCTCTCGTCGATGAAAGTGACGACGGGGGCAGCAAAATTATGGAAATGGATGATCTATTTTTAATGGCAACAAGGTTAGCACTTAATGTTTTATTAATCATCTTTGTTTTTCTTAATTAATACAAAATAATACGTAGCTCTATAGGAAACTAGATATTTACAAAGAAAATATTTTTTTCGTTAGATATTATAGTAAATCAATATTATTGTCTAAAAGCAATATATTGATTTGGCACGACTTGGCAAGTTGTTACTTATCTTATGCAAAGAGCGTAACTGATCCACGGAAAGCGAAAACTTTGTACGATAAAGCCTTGATGGCTGCACAATATTGTACCAAAGAAAATCCTTCCCATTGGGAACATTGGAATCTTTTAGGAAATATAGCAATTTCGAAAGGTAATTTCGTATATTCCTATGGAATTTGACGTAGGGTACATGAATTTTAATTCTTTTTAGACCCAAGTGATTATGCGTTAGCACAACATGCATTTATAAAAGCAATCACAGTTGAACATAACAGTGCCGAAGCTTGGACAAATTTGGGCAGTTTATACCTCAAGTTGGACGAGTTTAAACTAGCTAATGCAGCTTTCGCAAGGGCCCAACGTGCTGATCCGACGTATGTGAACAGCTGGGTAGGACAAGTAAGTAGTAAATCGTTTGCGTAAGGCTTAGGGTTCTGGGTTGTGTACATTAAACTACTGCAAAGGTAAGTGAACGAAGAATCTTCCCTTCGAGGTATTTTTGTTATTCTGATAAAATTTGAGATCTAAGTATAGTAATAGTTGTGGATTTCATGCTTTTATCTGAAAACTGTCTATAAAATTTCAAACGCTTAGATTATTTCAATTTTCTTTGTTGAAACTGAAATAAAAGCATAGGGTACATAGTTGTAATTTTCATTTTAAAATTCATTTCTAAAATCGGTTTTTTTGTCGGTTGTTGGAGATACAAAATCGTCTAGGGCAACGGCCAGCAACTGGCGAACCGCGGTCTAAGTCCAGACAGCGGAAAGTCAAAAATTGGACTGCCAAAATTTTTTTTGAAAAGTTATTTAAAAAATATTTTAGATAACAAAGTGTGTTTCAGCTTTGAGCGTCGCCCTTATTATATTTCCGGATCCCGCCTAAAATTCCTTGCTGACCCCTGGTCTAGGGCCTTTTATTTGGCCAGTAATTAATCAATAATTTTAAGGCTATTATAGCAGAAACAATGGGCGCAGAAGAAGCAATGGACCTGTTTCGTCATAGTACTCAATTGGGGATGCAAATGCAAGGTGCTCTGGGTTATGGTCAGTGGGTCTGTCAGACTCTTATAGATTCACCACCTCACACCTTTATTTACGCAATCCATAAAATGCACGCCGTTCCCGTAGCGTGTGATGCCTTGACGTGGTATATTGGTAAGTTTATTGAACTATTAATTTTTAGTAATGACATGATACACTAGACACATACCGAAAAACAATACAATTTTTTTTTTTTTGAATGTTTAAAATTTTTAGAGATTTTTTTGAAGTGAAACTTCTTTACGCACGGTAGGGTAAGTTCGTTTCATGCAAGTTGCTATGTAACGAAATTATGCAACGCATTTCCCCCGCTGCCTGTCCCTATGTATGCTTAGATCTTTAAAACTATGCAACGGATTTCAATGCGGTTCTTTTTAATAGATAGAGTAATTCAAGAGGAAGGTTTATATGTATAATACATGCATAATATAGTAGAGAAACACTGATAATTTTAGAGGTTTCTAATGTGATGTCGTAAATAAACACATTTTTTGCGCTTACATTGCAAACGCTGGCTGAACCCTACGAGATAGATCAAAATAATATACTACAGAATTGTACACCTTAAAAAGGTCTACAAAAAATTCCGCGATGGTATATGTCTATCTCTTAGGGATAACCCACAATAACCATTTTTTATCCTTTACTTTTTACTAGAAATAATGGCTTATTTATGAAGAGATTTTAAGCAATACAGCATTAATCCTTATCCAATTAAGTACTTTTAAATACATTGTGCATTTAATATAAATCAATATGATTCTTACAGCATGTAATTTAAATGAATATTTTCGAAGATATTACAACCTAAAATGCAGGGACATAGCGGTTGCGGCGATACCGGCCGGTTTGTATTGTCTAATGACAAAAAAGTTTTTTTTTTTTGAAAGAATAAGGATAAAAGGAGAATGTTTTAGGAATTTAGTATTGAAATATTCTTGGGAAATTTCTAGTTTGTATTAAATTTAATGCCTCGGTAGCATCCACTTTTAGTAGGTTTACTTAATTATTATTTAACAGTAACGATATTCTAATTCGAAAGATTACAAGTTTCCATAATACTTTCATGGTCTCTATCCCCATACTACGGTTAAACGTTTTACTAATTGTAGTTATTTTGCCCTTAAATTTTATCACAAGAATTTCGAGTTCCGCGTCCGTTAATGGTTTAAATAAAAAAAGATTGTACGTAGAAACGCTTAGAAATAAAAGCTTAGGGTACATGGTTGTAATTTTCATTTTGAAATGTATTTTGTAACCATGTTTAAAATCGACCTTTTTGTCGGTCGTTGGAGATACAAAACCGTTTAGGGCAATGGACAGCAACTGGCGGACAGCGGAAAGTTAAAAATTGGACCGCCAAAAATTTTTTGAAATAAAGTCTTTCCTTCCCGAGGTATTTCTGCTATTCTGGTAAAATTTGAGATCTAAGCATGGTACATAATCGTTGTGGACTTAATGCTTTTATCTGAAAACTGTCTATAAAATTTCAAACGCTTAGATTATGTCAATTTTCTTTGATGAAACTGAAATAAAAGCTTAAGGTACATAGTTGTAATTTTCAATTTGAAGTTTATTTTATAACCACGTCTAAACTCGGTCTTTTAATTGGTTACTGGAGATACAAAATCGTCTAGGGCAACGGTCAGCAACTGGCGGACCGTGGTCTAAGCCCAGACAGCAGAAAGTCAAAAATTGGACGGCCAAAAATTTTTTGAAATAAAGTCTTCCCTTTCCGAGGAATTTCTGCTGTTCTGATAAAATTTGAGATCTATGTATAACAATAATTGTGGACTTGTTCTTTTATCTGAAAATTGTCTATAAAATTTCAAACGCTTAGATTATTTCAATTTTCTTTGTTGAAACTGAAATAAAAGCTTAGGGTACATAGTTGTAATTTTCTTTTTGAAATTTATTTTGTGACCACGTCTAAACTCAGTCTTTTTCTCGGTTGTTGGAGATACAAAACCGTTTAGGGCAACGGTCAGAAATTAGCGGACCGCGGTCCAAGTCTAGACCGCGGAAAGTTAAAAATTGGACCGCCAAAAATTTTTTTAAGGACAGTTTCCTTCCCGAGGAATTTCTGATANATTTATTATAAAGATCTTTTTTGAAGAAAATTGAAATTCCTGCAAAACGAATAATTTATCTATTATTTTTCATCCATAAAAAGTATGGATATGAAGAAAAATCTCAAATTTTCATTAAAACTGCAATTATCTGAGAAATTAGTAATCATACACAATTTGCTATCAGGACTTTTTTATGAGGAAGTGAATTTCCGATCAAGTTGAGTTGAGAAAAAAGTATTTTAAACACTTTAAACTTTAGCTCAATTTGAGCAGCCTGAGATATCGACTCAAAAATTTTTCCCTTTGTACAGTTTTTTTTTTAGTATAATGAACAATTTTTCTGATATTAATTAAAGAAATAAAAAGAAAGCGGATTTTCGGCCCATCCTATTGGTCATTTATTGACGTAGAACGCGGATCTTATTATGTCTCATCAACACACCGTATGCAGTCACGATAAATTAAGTAATACCAGTTAAATATCTGCTGCTAACTGAAGTTTTCCAACTTTGGCAGAATATTTTGCTACTTTATTGTATCTTTTTCAGCTACAGAGTTTCTACCTAAGACTTTTTCATAATATCAATAACCAGTTAACATAAGATTTTTTATAAGTGTTGAACATAAAAAATATATAGAAATTGAAATGTTGAAGAGGCTACAATAAAGCAGCTAAAGGGTCAGAAGAATTTCGGGTTGTTTCTTTGATTTCAACATTGTCAAAATCCCTATGGGATAATCTTTGTACATGAACAGCAGATATTGCTTAATTTTAATATTAATTTGATTAGTGACTAAAAGTGCGGATTTTTATTAGTATTCATGTCAATTTTCACGTACTGAAAACCTGTATTAAACATAGTTTTCTCTTTTTTACTGACTTTTATGTTATTTTTACTTTTTTACTATTGTTTTGCGTACCTCATAATAAAATCTGCTATTTTATTTATTTTTTCGTCAATTTTTCCATCGGTACTTCGTACCGATCGTCCTCCACGTATTGAAAGATGGTCGTTCAACTTGACAGGGTTAATCGTTGAATACTTTAATACATATGGGTTATAAGTATTTTTCGACGAATAAGGCTTGGTGTTGTATTTGGGCGCAATTCCGTACCGTTCTTCGTAAGTGTTAGGTGGTGCTTCGTGAGTTTTTTGCGTTTGCGATTCATCTGGATGGTAATCAGGTGGTTGATGGGATTCGTATTTGTGATAATGCGAACCTGATGGTTCGACATACTTATAACCGTGGTGGTGAGGGGGTGAAGCATAAACAATTTTTTCCGGGACGGTTTCCGAAATACAATCTCCATCTGAAATTCGTCTTTTTTTTATTAAATCATCAATGTCAAACTATTCAAAACTTTCTCGATGTTTTGTGCCATAAAATTATTTGATTAATTAAATGCTTAATTAATGCAAAATACGTATTTCCAAAATGCTTGCAGGTATTTGCTCATTTTTTAAATATTGGAGTTTTTCTAGAGTAATAGTGGTGTTTGCACTATATCACTAGCTTCGAAGATATTGATTCATATCTTTCTGTTTGAAGTGACTGAGATACAGTTTTTCTTTTCTTGTGTTATAGTTTCTTCAGTTCATCAACAAATAGTTCTTCTATATGCTTCCTTATTTACCTTTGTCACACGTTTTAATTAGAAAAAAGTACTGATACCAAAATAGTTTGTTTATCGTGAAAGATCAGAGGCAAAATAGGGTTGGAAATAATTTTATTGATATAAAATCAGCATTAACCATTTTATATCAAAAAATGTTTACAACCGCCTTTTGTATCCGATCTTTTACACATTGAAGAAGTGAAAGAAATGGAATCCATAGTTTCTTTAGCTTCAAGTTTATCTAATAAGTGAAGTTTTCCAATCGTTTTTTTATAATTTTGGAATATACGCATTTATTAGCACACCACAATATCTTGTAGTTTTCAGTTTTACACAGATGAAGTATATCAATTCGATATTGTTTTGCGTGCTGTTTTGTTGTAATTCACAGAATTTCGTAGTTCTTTGCTAAAGGTAGGATAAGTGGTGATTTGGCAGGTGCTGATATCAATTCGGAATTTCGAAATTCCATGGACCATGACATTGAACTCGGAAAACAATATCGATCCAATATTTTAGATTATCCATTTCCATGGAGTTTAGAATTTTTTGGGCTCTCTTCGGGTAAAGAATTAGAAGGCATTCATGAAATATTTCTTTGTCCCCTTTTTAAGTTTCTAATACCTTTAATGGCCAATATGAGCAACTTTCATTCATTATTTTATATAATGTTTGATCTGTGATAATAGCAAAACATTTGACGGCAAAAATGTATCTTGCATTTTACAAATAGAAAATACGTTTGGAAAAGTATTTCAAATAAAATACAAAATGTTTTTCTCAAAAAAGCATTTAAATGCAAGATAGAAATAGGTACTTTTTATTTTGTATTTGCATTTTAAACCATATCTCCGATAACGTTGCAATTTTTTAAATTTTGAGAAAATACTAATGTTAAGTTCGATAGCAATTTATATGCCAAATTAAATATGAAAGAATAAATTATAGTATATTTGTTCTATTGTTTGTATTTTGCATTAAGAAATTGAAAAGTGGATATTACGAAAAATGTATGACATTACACGAAAAAGTATATAGCATTATTTATCATATAATTTTAGTAAAAGTTTTTTTCTGAAGAACACCTTACCTTTATTTTTTGATTTTAAGTAATAGATAAGAGCCATAACTTTACCCCCAACTATAACTACTGTGAATATGGTTACAATCACAAATATAATCTTCAACTTCACAGCAAAAAATAGCAAATATTTATACAAATGGTGATCCCCATCTAAAAAAAGAAAACAAAAACACTCACAACAATTAAGACAAGTGAAGAAATTGTATGGTTAAATTTTATTTGGTAATTATTTTTTACTGTTATGTTAGTATAGAAAAACGCGAAAAACTATTTAAAACAATATAATAATAAATTAAATTTTTAGCTTGTATACCCAGTATTTTATATATATTTTATTTTACTTACAGTACATGTGGTGATCGTGATCATAGTGATCGTGGTGACCATGTTTATCACGGGCCAATTGTGTTACTGTACCCTTTTTATTTTCTGCATACGTTGCTGTTGTGAAAAGCACAAAAACTATTGCTGGTTTCAATATTTCCATCACTACCAACACCATTAACCATTAAACTTTCACACCCGAGTCTTTTTTCGAAACTGACACATTACAACCATTTAAGCTTTTATACGAGGGCGCAGTTATTTATTTATGTTTTTTAAGTAGGCACTGAACCACTTTTGATTTCAGTGCAACATCGAGTATACCTGTGAATTAGTTGTTTCCTGTTTTGTTTGCTTAATAGTTAGTGCTGAACCGATGGTTCCACTTTCTTGTATTTCTATTTACTTTATGAAAGTAAATTTTTATTTTCCTAATTTAGGTAGAAGTTTTTTTTTTTTAATAATAGCAGACGGTTTACAAAGGATTACTAGTTACTAGTTATTGCAATTGCTAAAAGTTAATTAGAATTAAATTATGCATAATTACCCAGACTGTGTAAACTCTGAACTTCTTCTAGTCAATATTGTTGAATTGATTCGCAAATTAGGCCAACGTTTCGCCTTTAGGTGGGGAGTTTTATCAAGGCTCTACTTGAATAACCAACTTTAATTATGTCTAATTTGGTTATTCATGTAAAAACTTCCAATACAGAAGCGAAACATTGGCCTAATTTGTGAATAAATCCAAAAATATTGACCAGAAAAAGTTCGGAGTTTTCATTTAATTGTAAGTTAATTACCGTTTTTGAAGTAATGATAGGTATTGATTGTCTATCTACCAAAAATGAAACCAATGCACAAAAGTTTGATCCAATAAGATGAAATGGAAACTATATTTGGATTATTTCAGTCTGAAAAAACGTAAAAGACACGAAAAGTAAAAATAAAAGAATACAGGGATAGTTAAATAAAAATTAAAAACTGAAAAATAAAACTCATTAGTAGTTCTCATTCAAAATACGTATTTGGAATGTCCACAGAACGAAATCCATACGATAGTTGTGCGTGGAATATGTTGGGAATTTTAAGAGAACGCCTCGGCATGAAGGCCACAACGTTGGAAGCTTTTACAAACGCGTATAAAAAGTGTATTGAAATATACAGAGACAAAGCCAAAATAAACATGGGAAGAATCAATTTTCGATTGGGCAAATACAAGGAAGCGATCGATTTCTATCAAAGCGTCAAGGAAGCCAATTTTAAATCCGGAAGTGGATTAGCATTAGCACGATTTAAAGGTAATGAAGTTACAATTAAATATGGTATATCTACCCAACTTTTTAGACCGTAGAACGTAGGCTATGTTGTCTACACATCGGCGAATATTTCCTTATCATAAACAGCAATTTATTTGATTGGTGAAATGTAAGGAAGTTTCAAACCGCGAAAAGAAATTTTCATGTTCTCATAAATTTCATTTGCGTTTAAAACTCGTTGATGCATTCGCTTACACTTGAAGCTTGAAACAGAGACGTTTCCTATATGTAAACCCTCAGAGAAAAACGTCGTTATTACAAAAGCTTTCATTCTTCCTAAATAACACTTTAGTTCTTCTAAGTATATTACATATCTAAGGTGGTAGACAGAATAAATAGTTGTTCAACTATCTAAATGTTGACGCCCCTTGTCTACACATACAATTAATTTTATCAATTACGCATCAATGAGACCATCGTTTTTTGATAGATTTAGCATCAGTTGATGTAAGACATGATTAGAAACCAATCAGTTATTTAACTTTGAAATTTATCGACGTACATGCACGATAGTGTTGAAACAAATTTAGATATATAAAAATTTTGAACTTGGTTTATCTCTATTATCACGAAGGTGTAACTAGAAATTTCAATTTGAAACTCGAAATATTCATTGAATCGTAACCTAACCTAACCAGAGACAATTTAAAGCGATTAAAATCGCAGTCAGCAATCCTTATAACACATGAGCAACCAACTTAATATGCTACGTTGAAATTTTGAGTTTAAATACGAGTTACAAGCCGAAATTTCAAAAAAATATGTTTAGTTCTTCAACGCCTTCGGAGATGTCAAAGAAATAAATCAATTAATAAGCTTGCTTCATAATTTTTGTAAGTTTCCGTATGCATACATACAATGCATATCAACTGCAAATAACTTTTAGCTAAACAGTACGAAGAATCTTACGAAGAGTACGAAGCAGCATTGCATTGGTTAACCGATGAGCAATCGCATCAATCCGATCTTCTGGTTGCTCTCGCCTCGATGGCGTATACATTTCAAGGACCAGATGCTGCAAAAACCCTTCTTTTTCAAAGGTATGAAAGCTCTAAAAAAATTTGTATTTATGGATCAACGACTTGAATATTACAGTCGATCTAAAATGTTTTTGTACCTATAACCTATTTTTTCTCTTTTCTCTTGCAAGTTAAAACTTATAGAAGTGTTGCAAGTAATTGATTTCTAAATTATGAACCAAAACTCTGTTTGGCTAAATAATCATAAAGGTATAAAAATCTACTCTAAAATTCAAAAGTTTAATATACAAACTCATATAAGTAAAGCTACACTGAATAATTATGAGCTGAACGAAAAATAAAGAAAATAAAAATTGAAGTAAAAATATTAAGAATTAACAGGTCATAAATTTTTGTTAATTTTATTAGCTTTGTTACGGTGTTTGTAAGATTCTATCGATTTAAAAAGGAAACAGTATTTCAATCTTAACAGACTTAAATCGCTTTCTTTCAATCCGATTTGCGTTTTCATAAAACTAGTTTAGTGTCTATTAGGTATTTTTTGAAGTCATCAGTTGTTGAAACTTATTCATAAAGAAGTTAAACAATTTACAGTTAGTAAAAGTTTCAAGAAATCGCTACAAAAAGGTATATGTTCTACATATATATGGTTGTAAGCTAATTCGTTGCGACTATATCGTTCAATATTACAACATTCTACAAATACCACGAGTCAAAGTTAGGGAATTACGTGACTATTCAAGCACCAAATTAGAGGATCGAACTGTGCCAAATTTTTTGAATTAGAAAATGTTGGCTGTATTTGTATATTTCTTTGATTAGCATATTTGAAGTGCTACGATTAAAGGAAGAAATGGGATGCACTAGGGGTAAGTACTATGCACCAATGGTACGGGTTTTTACGATTGAAAAGACAACGGTGTCCATCTATCAACTACAATATTGTTCCACTATCTTTATCCGAAGAAACAATTGTAATGCGTAACAACATTGCAGTGTTATAAATATTTATTGAAACTTTGATTAAATTGTATAATTGTATTGTTTAATTGAATATTTTTTAATCATGATGTAGTCCAGTGTCAATTTTATTTGTTGTTGCAGTGTAAAATGTAACCCTCCATCCCCTTTTGCATACTACGCCATTTTGGCTCTGGGGTTATTAAATGACGATTTCAAATTGGCTGAAGCAGCGGTAAAAGAAATGACCACTTTGAAAGATAGAAAAGAATGCTTGTCACACACATCCACTTTACTGTCTCACTTTTATTTTAAAAAGGTAACGACTGTGTATTTGTTAATTTTTTTAATTCTTCTACAACTTTATTCGACTTGACACATTTTGATTCGGTTTTAGAATGAAATTAGTAAAGGTATTCGGGAACTTAGTAAACTTATCCATCGTCATCCTGATCAGGCATCCTTGTGGTTATCATTTGCTATTTTATTTGCAAGATGCAAAAGTGGAAAGAAATGCATAACGCTGGCGGCATCGCATTGTGCCAAAATTGCAGTGAAACTGCGTGAAACTAATATGGACATCAAATTGGTAAGTTCAATAAATTGAGAATTTTATCTTTCTTCTAAGCTGTTGGACTGGTTTTGATTACTTTTTCGTCTATATGTATATTATAATCATCATTTAGAAAAAGGTTTCAATGCAAAATCATCATCATCATCATTTGCGAACAGTAACCTAATGTAGACCTGCCTCTACTTCTATTAATTCCTGTTTTTTCTGCTTCTAATATGTCTCTGACCAGACCTTCATGCTTGAGAAGGTGTCCTACCAACCTATCTCGCCTATTTTTTATTGACTTCCATAGCGTCCTCTATTCTCCTACATTTTCTAATACTTCCTCACCTTCTTTAACCACGGTATCCCCATATGTTTGTCTGTAACATCACATTTCGAACGATCTTTTTCTTTTTCGCTACGCTATCCACGTTTTGCACCTCTACAGAGCCGTCCTCCAGACATACACTTAGATACCAATCTTTTACGAATTTGTAAATTAATTGTTCGCCAGCATAGAAGTGTATTCTTTTTGTTAAAGGCGCTATCCTTTGCCCCTTTCTGTCTTATTTTTATCCCTACTGCTCCTTTCATCCTGAATTATCTGACTTCCTAGATACTGAAAATCAGGAACTTTTTCTAATTTTTCGTCTCGTATCTTTACATATTTTTACTTTTTAACACATTTTTCAGTTGGATCATATAAAGTCACAAAAGCTAGTACATCCCCCTCTCATTCCTATAAACGATTTCTTGTGCTTAAAAATAGCAATGAGAATGACATTCAATCGTAATAAAAAATTTTCAGACTGTCAAGTTAAGAACATTAAAATAAAATTGACGCACTACGAACGTTAAATTTCCCTTAGACCCCCACTCCCTTGTCATATCTCGTCACACTAAGCGACATCTCTGTCTCCCCCTTATGTGCGAACGTATATTATGAACAACCCTTAAGGTAAAAAGCTCACCGAACATAGAAATTTATACATTCCTTTAGCAGCATTTTTTTCTTCCATAAATGCACAATTTGGTGAACTTCTCTAAAAATGGCCCCAAACTAACAATGTGTAACAGTCCTTAAACACTTTAAATTGCACTCATTGGATTTGTATACTGTTGAAGGTATTTGTACAAATTTCCCTGAAGGTACCACCTAGTATTTTTTAAAAAATGATGACGGCCTTGGTGATTGCATGTAACAGAATATCTCTATGTTCGATTCCCGTTCTCAATTCACCACTATTGTATAAGCCTCATCAACATAAGACAGTCAGTCCTAAGATTGGTTGGACACGCACCTCCACTCTTTTCTATCCTGAGCTAATCTTCGCATTTCACTAAAACTGGAACATCCCCCATCCTTAACTACTTGCGAACAGTAATCTAATCTAGGTCTATCTCTATCCCTCCTAACTCCTGTTTGTTCCTCTAATATGTCTCTGACTAGACTTCATGCCTAAGAAGATGTCCTACTAACTTATCTGGCCTATTTCTTATTGACTTCCATATAAGTCCTCTGTTCTCTCACCTCTTCTAATACCTTTTCATTTCTAACCTTCTCTATTCACGGTATCCTCATAATTTGCCTGTAACACCACATTTCAAACGCTTCTAACCTTTCCCTTTCCGCCGCGCCCATCGTCTATGTTTCGCACCCGTACAGCGTCGCGCTCAAAATATACACCTTTAACAAACTTTTACGAATTTCTAAATTAACCGTTCTCAAGCATAGAAGTAACGTCTTTTTATTGAAGGCGACTCGACCCTGCACTATCCTGTGTTTTATATACCTACTACTCCTTCCGTCCTGACTTATCTAACTTCCTAGATACGTAAAATCGGCCACTTCTTCTAATCTTTCGTCTCCTATCTTTGCATTCGCTTTTTCCCTACTTTTTCTTCCCTTGCATACCAGTATTTTCATTTTCATATTTCGTACTGTTTTGTCAATATCGCTTCCATTTTATTTAAAGCTACCTCTAACTCCTGGAAATTTAAGCATACTAATCTTTTGCCCCTGTATAACTGAAGAAATATTTAATTGTACCGTCTGTAAATTACAAAGTGTTTTTATTTTTATATAAAAAATTACACCGAACAAAGTAATAGCTTTTGTTTAAATACAATATTGCTATTTAAGTAAGGAAATCTACCAGAAATGAGTTCACTTTTCTAGGCTTTATGTATTATATCACTTCTCTGTTCAATTGCCGGTGATGAGAAACAAGCACTGAAAGCGGCGCAGAAAGCTGTTCACTGTTATCCGAATTTATCTGAATGCTGGTGCGTTTTAATATTCACCTTGTTATCTAATCAACAAACAACTAAAAATCATAAATTCTGGTTGAAAAATGCACTACGATCTGCGAAAGATCTAGACGGTACTTCGACTGCAACGAAAGAGTGGTTGAAAATTCAAGAAAAAATTGTGGATGACTTATAATAATTTTAATATTTTGTACGTGTCTGATAAATAAAACTTTTTTCCAAAAGACTTTTGGAGTTTTATTTATTACAACTTCTGATGTAGTCAGAGTTTAAAAAAAATAAATTTCTAAGGTAAGTATGTACTTATCCCTTTTTTAATACAGTTTAATTAAAATTGAATGGTGAAATGTTATTTATTTAATTTGTAATCTTAAACCGACGTTTCGCCTTTTTGGTCGAAGGCTTTATCAAGCTAGATTACTAACTTATTCTATTACATGAAGAACCTTTTTCAATAATCACACGAATATTTAACAACAATAATAAAAACATACACAAAATGACAGACTAAAATTATAAATTAACACGCAATTTAAAATAATAAATTAAAGTTACAATAATAAATATTAATAAA